GAGTGGTGATTTCCCCACTCCAATTTTATCCACTTACACTCCATTTTATAACTAAAAAAGGAGTGTAAGTGGATAAAATTGAAGTGGGGAAATCATTACCCAAAAAAAAACGCCTAGATGGCCGCTTAGATCCCGATTACTCCTATATGCATGTTATATAGTTTTGGTACTGCATTTAAAATTATAGTGGTATCTTTTGTTTTGTTTTGCTTGGATAACATCGGATGGTTTCACATTCTTTAATGTGCCAACAATCTGCAACTGGAGTTTTAAATCTATAAAATTCTCAAGTGCATTCCAGATGATTTAATTTGAGTGGTTGTTGCATTCTCCCATCTAATTTACTAGTTAATGTAGTTTGAGGACGATGACTTAATTTTGATAAATATTTTTTGTTAACATTATTAACTTTTGAGTGCACATATGTGAGGGTAAATTGCACTTATTGGAGGTGTAGAATTTGAAGTTAGTTGATTGTAGTTTAAGTGGTTAAGAGCAGTTATCTCTGCCCTCGATATCATGTGTTCGAATTTCTCTCCTCTAATTAATATAGTTTTTATAAATAAAAAATGGAGAATTTACTATTATATCCAATATAGGGGCCTAAATTATATATAAAAAAACCTTACATGATGGACTTTAGAAACACACCCAAAATTCATTTACAACATAACAAAGAGACTTCGAACTTACTATAAATTACAAAACTATCATTGATTTCTTAAAACAAGCCCAAACCCAAAACTCCATAAAAAACCCAAAACACTAAAAAGAGCATAAAAGTAATTTAATAATAAAAAATTAAATTCAATAGGATCAGCTTTCATTTTTTAGGTTTGTTTATAGAAATTAAATGATGCAGAGTTTATCCATATCACTAGTGCTAAGAGTGAATATATAACTTAATATCTCATAAAAAAAAACCCCAAAAAATTGAAAATGGGATCAAGAAAATCGGGAAAAGGACCAACGGACCCTTATGCTATTTTACATAGTGGATCAAAATCCATGTTATGTTACTCACCAATTCAAAGCTTCGGACCCGGTTAAAACAAGCCAACCCACTCGGCCCGGGTCACATATATATGACGTGCCACCCAAATGGTCAGCCCGCACAGTGCACTCACTTAAGCCCTAGCGCGAGCCCGAGACACAAGCAGAGAGAGTGCAACACCACCACCATTAATCTCCAACTGTCAGCGCTCTCAATTTCAAGCTTGGACTTCAAACGCATATTCAGCTCTTCTTCGTCTACGTCTCCAATTCAACTGGTTCTTCTTGCCCGTCGTTCTCGTTCTTATTCTTCTTCTTGTTTCTACTCGTAGCTCACTGGAGGTAAATATTTCAAGCTCGCAGAAAAACCTAAAACCTTGTTTGGTTGTTAATGAATTCTTGGGTTGGGAGATAATACAAGGAAAATTTGGACTGCGCTTTTAGGTTTCCTGCTGTTTTGCAAACTGTAAAAAGCGGCTGATTTGACTGTATTTTACGAACTAGGTCTTGGGTTTAGTTGCTTTGTGTCTGTTTCACTCTGGTTATAGGGTTTCGGGATTGGTAATGCATTAAAACTGAGGTAAAATAATGGTTTTCGTTACTGAGTTGTTGGAGGTAAAATAAATCTGGTATTTAGATGAATTATAGTTTAAGATAACTCAGTTTATGGGAGATTTATGTTTTTAATCTCTTTTTTGGGTTTGTATCACCTACATTTAGAAGCCTTGGCCTAGGTGTTTGTGGAAACTATAGTAAGAAAATAAAAAAGCTCCAGAGTTTGAAATTTTATTATTATTTTTCTCGCTTTCAATTTGGTTTTCTTTCAGCAAAATGCAGGCTTAGTACTTATAAACTCATTGCTCTGTTTATTTATTTTTTGGAAAATGGTTGCAGATATCAGCAGCAGGTCTATCTGTGAGGTTGGTTTTTGCTACGTTGTTTGATTTGAAGAAAGGTTTAATGGATTTCGACGAGTATGAGTACTTAGAGAAAACGGTTGAAAATCCTGAACCCCAGAAAGCAAAGGAAACTGCAAATGGTGGTGAGGAAACTCTAAAATCTGGAGAGAAAGGTCGCAGTCGAAGTTCAAAACATAAGAGTGATGAGAAAGGTCATGATGAGGAACGTCACTCAAAGCGTTCAAAATCTGGAGATGACTCACGTGAACATGATCATGATCGGCACAGAGAGAGGGGATCTTCTCGTCATCGCTCACGGTCAAGAGAAGTAGAAAAGGATCGCCACAGGAGTAGCCGGGAACATAGAGGTAGGGAGGACAGGGAAAGGGAGGAAAGAAATGGAAGGGAGAGAGACAGGGACAGAGACAAAGAGCGGGATCCTGATCGAGCTAGAGACAGGAGAGAACGCGACCGTGAGGGTGACAAGGATGACAAGGACCGGGAGAAGGAGAAAGAGCGATCACGTCGAAGTAGGAGTCATTCAGAAAGGCATCGAAGTGATCGGGATGAAAGAGAGAGGAGCAGGGATGTGGAGCATAAAGAAAGAGATAAGGAGAAGGATTTAAGGGAGCGGGAAAAAGAAAGCAGGTATTCTTTAGATTTATATTGTTTGGCTTTTTGGCTGTCAAATTCTTTGTTAGACTGTATAGTTTGTGTTTGGACCACTATCCTTTTTAGCACACTAGCATAAGTGACCATCCACTGGATTAATCATTTAAAGTTTGATCAGATAGCAAGCCATTGTACTGCATATTAATAGCATAACTGAACCTCAAAGTATCTGCAATGGAACAAAATTTG